AATCCCGAGTTTCCCCTCACGAATCCCGAGTTTCCCCTCACGAATCCCGAGTTTCCCCTCACGAATCCCGAGTTTCCCCTCACGAATCCCGAGTTTCCCCTCACAAATCCCGAGTTTCCCCTCCCAATCCCGATTTCCCGGTGTCTCCGTATGCCAGGAATGCCGACCGGAAGGAGAACCGCACTCCCAAGCACCGCTCCAGCTCCTGCAGCCCCGATCGGCGCCGTTCCCGCGCCGGCAGCTCCGGCTATTCCCGCTTTTCCGGCGGTTCCTGCTCCGCCCCGCGCCGTTACCGCTCCCGATCCCGAAGTCCCGGCAGATTCCGGAGGCCGCGGAGCCGGAGCCCTCGGCACATCCGGAGGATCAGCCCCCGGCACCGATCCCGGTCCCCTCAGCGTTCCCGGAATCCGCTGAGATCCAGCCCCAGACCGCGGAGATCTCCCAGCTCCGAGCGCTCTTCCCGCCGTTCCAGCCGCTCCGAAGGTGATTGCCGTCCCGAATCGGAATTTTGGGAATAACCGATGGAATTCCCAAATTATTTATCGCCTTTTCCTCCGTATTCCATCGTTATTTTTTAATTAATTTTTAATTGATTAATTTTTCCAAGCAGAAAAAAAAAAAAATTCCAAACACGGGAAAAAAAAAAAAAAAAACAAGGAAAAAAAAAATTTCAGGCAAATTCCCAAATTCCCTAAAAATTTTTTTTTTTTAAGGGATAAAATTACAAAAAAAAAAAATTAAAAATATTTGGGAATGATCCCAACAAAATAACCTCTGGATTCTCCACAGCAATCCGGGAAATTAATTAAGGAATAATTAAAAGCAGTCCAGAACAAGCCAAGGAAGGCAGGAATTAGCGGAAGGCTCCGAGCTAGTAAGTACTAGACAGGAATTCCGAGAAATTCCCAAAAAATTCCCGAGAAATTCCAGGTTTTTGGGGTTTTTTTTTCCCCCCCATCTCCAGTTTCTCCCTGCAGGAAATGAGGCCAAATTTGGAATTTTTTTTTCCCAGATTTTGGGAATTTCATGGCTTCGCTTGGGAGTTTTTATCCGGCGGGAAAAGTTTTCCCGGGTGGCAAAAGGAAAAAGTTCAGGAAAAACGGGAAAAAATTATAAAAAATAATAAAAAATATTAAAAAAATAATAAAAAATAAGAAGAAATAATAAGAAATAATAAAAAAATTAATAAAAATAAATTTAAAAATTTTTAAATTTTTTTTTTTAAAATTCCATGGATTTGCTGTTGGAAAATTCCATCATTCCCATTTTTTTTCCCCCTCATTCCCAGATAGGAAAGCAGCTCTGGAAGCCGTGATGAAAACTTTGGGACCGGGATTTTTGGCCGAGTTCAAGAAACACAAATCCCTGCAAGCGGCGGTTCAGGAATCGCTGGCATCGGGAAAATCCCACGGAATTCCCAGCAGGATAAGCGGGAATGGGAAGAAACAACCTCGGAGCGCCCCCAAAACTTCCAGGAAAGACGGATCTGCCGGGCCGGGAACGAGCTCCGGCCTGGAATCCGAAGGGTCCATCCCGAAAAAAGAGAGGGAAGAGGAGGAGGATTCGTCCGGAGGGAAAAATCATCCGGCTTCCTACAACAGGGTGAGAGAGGAATTCTGGGATTCCAGAGGGATTCATTCCGGAATTCCCGGAATTCCTGGGTTGTTCTGGTCTCAGTCCAAGCTTGGGCGCTTCCAGGGATGGAAAAATCCTGGAATTCCAGAATTCCTTAAAGATTTATTCCACAATCCCAAATTGTTCCAATCCGACCTTTCCTCGGGTACTTCCAGGGATGAAAAAATTCCGGAATTCCATAAAGATTTATCCCAAAATTCCCATAATCCCCATCCGACCTTTCCATGGGTACTTCCAGTGATGAAAAAAATCCGGGAATTGTGGAATTCTTTAAAGATGAATTCCACAATTCCCACATTCCCAGGTTCTTACGATCCCAGTCCAACCTTGGGCATTTCCAAGGATGAAAAAAAATCTGGGAATTCCAGAATTCCTTAAAGATTTATTCCACAATCCCAAATTGCTCCAATCCAACTTTTCCATGGGCTCTTCCAGGGATGAAAAAAATCCTGGAATTCCAGAATTCCATAAAAATTTATTCCACAATTCCCACACTCCCAATCCCATTTTGGGCACCTCCAGAGATGAAAAAATTCCGGAATTCCATAAAGGTTCATTCCCCAATTCCCATTTTGTTCCAATCCAAACTTTCCTTGGGTATTTCCAAGGATGAAAAAAATCCAGGAATTCTGGAATTCCATGAGGATTTATTCCAAAATTCCCATTTAGTTCCAATCCCAATTCAACCTTGGGCACTTCCAAGGATGAAAAATCTGGGAATTCCGGAATTCCGTAAAGATTTATTCCACAATTCCCATTTTGTTCCAATCCCAACCCAACCTCGACTGATTCCAACAACAAAAAACCACCCAAAAACCCCAAAATTCCCCCCAAAAAAAAAATCCCTTTTGCTCTCCCATTCCTCCTTTCCCGGGGATTTCTGGGAATTCTTTCCGTGTTTTCCAGCTGCTGCGGGAGGAGCTGCTGAGCTGCGGCACCGTGCTGCAGATCTCGGATCTTCCCGACGATGGATTTTCCGACCAGGACATCAAGAAACTCGTTCAGCCCTTCGGGAAAGTCAGCGACCTCATCGTGCTGCGCTCCCGCAACGAGGTGATTCCCGGGAAAAACAACGGGAAAACGGGAATATTTCCCTTCCTTCCCCTTTGCTCTCATTGCTTTCCAAGGCTTTTCCTGGTTTTTCCCTTTTTTCCCCCGGTTTTTCCCATTTTTCTCCCGTTTTTTTCTCTGTTTTTCCTATTTTTTCCCTATATTTCCCAATTTTTTCTCCCTTTTTTCCCATTTTTTCCCCATTTTTTCCCCCATTTTTTCCCCCATTTTTCCCCATTTTTCCCCATTTTTCCCCCATTTTTCCCCCATTTTTTCCCCATTTTTCCCCCATTTTTCCCCCATTTTTCCCCCATTTTTTCCCCATTTTCCCCCATTTTTCCCCATTTTTTCCCCATTTTTCCCCATTTTTTCCCCATTTTTCCCCATTTTTTTCCCCATTTTTCCCCCATTTTTCCCCCATTTTT